ACTGAGGAAGGGCCTGACTCGTGGCGGCCGTCGAGCTAGGGGCATGGACGGTCACCAAAATGGCCGGGTCGGGGGCGGCAGAGGAGGAAACTCCGTCGTGGCCACCCTGTCGGAGAACTGGGGACCCGGACTGAGAGCCAGGAGAAGAGAGAGGATGAGGAAAGGAAGGACGACCAGCGTCCTGGAGTTGCTGCACGCCGGCGGCAAGGGTCGCCACCTGCGCCTGTAAGGGCCCGAGGGTCGCGAGTTGCGCATGGATGGGCGCAAGGGTCGCGAGTTGCGCCTGGATGGGCGCAAGGAGGAAGGTGAGGAGGGTGTGTAGATCCCCCTGGGGCTGATGGCCCTGGTCCGCCGGCACGGGTGTGGAGCCCGATGCCGTGGTCATCGTCGTGTCGACGGCGTGTGACGCACCGTCGGCCATGGGGAGATGAAAGACCGGACTGGAGAGGGCCAGAAGAGGTCCGCGTGAGCGGAGGGCGTAGGGGGAAGTCCGCGGTAGAAAGCGGCGAGCGGCGCTAGCAAGGCTAGCATGGGCGCCGTCAAAGGGGGAGGGGTGGTTCGGGTCCAGGGTGCCCGAAGAGGACGGGGAAGTAGGGGGGGTTTTGAGGAACCCTAGACCCTACAAAACCCCTAAGAAAACCCTAACCGAGGTTTAAGGCTAGGGTAGGGTACAGGTGACCTAATCAAGAAAGTAAAATAGCAAGCATAGGGGGGGGGGAAACGGGAGAAAAATAAATGAACAGCGAGATTTCGAGAGGAAATAAAATAAATAAAAAAATAAATAAATAATAAATAGTAAAAATAATTAAAAAAATAAGTAAAAAAATGTGAAGAGAAATAATATTTATTTTTTTGAAAATTTCGGCAGCATTTCCCTACCCCCCACGGGGTCAAGAATGTGCCAAGGGAAAAGGAGACACCGAGGTGTGCACTCTAGCGATGCCGCAAATAAATAAATAAAAAAGAAATTTCAGAAAGTAAATAAGAAATAATAAATAAATAAATAAGTAAATAAGTGTGTGAGGAGGTGGGGAGAAATGGGTTATCTGATTTCTTAAAAATTTTGGCAGCATTTCGTTACCCCCATGGGGTCGAAGTGTGCCGAAAAGACTAAGTAAGAGAAAATCAGAAAATTTCGGSAGCACTTCGTTACCCCCACGGGGTCAAAACGTGTGTCGAAAGCAAGAAAGGCTAACACCTAATCAGATTTAGGGTTGCCGCCATGAATTTTCAGAATAAGTAAAAATAAATAAAATAAATCAAAAAAATAAGAAAAGAGGGTGGGGAAGAAGATGAGAAAACTAACAACTAATCAGATTTAGGGTTGCCGTAGAGAAAATTGAATTTTTCAGAATAAATAGAAAAATAAATTAAATGAATCAGAAAATGAGAAAGGAAGGTGGGAAAGACGATATTTCGAATTTTTGAAAAAAGAGAAAAGATAAATCAAAAGAGAGGTAGAAAGAAGAAAAACAGAGAAATTTTCGAAGTACGGGGGAAGGGGAATAAAAAGTGAGGGAGAAAAGAAAGAAATAGGAGGGGGGGGAGAAAAAGATGAAGTGGGAGGTAGGGGGATGGGGTGGTGGTTGGGGGAGAGGAGGGATGGGGAAAGGTGGATAGGGATCAAGAAGCAAAGAGAAAAGGAGGAAGAAAATAAAGAAATAAAAAAAGGAGAGTAAAAGAATGGGTGTTGGGAGAAAGGTGGGGTGGGGAAGATAAAAGGAGGAGAGAAAAGATGCAGTGGAAGGTGGGGGAAAGAGAAGGGGTGAGTAAGAGGAGAGAGGAGAGGTAGGGAGAGTGGGTTAGTAGAGGGAGAGGGGAGAAGGGAGTGATACCTGGCCCTTGGTGTCTCCAAGGGCACAAGGTACACCAAGACCAGGAGGGTCTTGGTCTTTGCTGCAGCAGCCAGTTGGAGGAGAGAGGGGGCTGAGATCAGCCCCCAACAACACTTCTGCAGATGTGTAGATGTAGGGTCTGCTCACATGTCTGCTGTGTGAGCAGGCCCTCTCCACTGTAGAGCAGCCCCCTAAGCAGGGGGGTCTTCAGCCACGTGGCCGTGGAGATGGCCACGTGCACAGGCAGCAGCAGCCACGGGGGGGGGTAAATAGCAACTTCGCTGTTGCGCACTGCTCGCTGCCTTGG